GCTGTTTGTAAGCACTCGGGTGGTCAACTCATGTATCCAGTCTAACATTCGTCAATGTTTTTAAACCATTTCATCTTTGTATATAAAAATGTTGACAGGACGCTGGTGTTCAAATTCAATTGCACCGGTATGTGATAGGAAATATTCCTCACAAAGGTTTAATCGTTTTATTTTGGAAGCTGTAATCCGTAACCTCAAGTAATCTGCTGATTCGTGACAAGCATGTAATAAATAATGATATGAAAGTTAGTGTGTTCTTGGACTAAAATCCGTTAGTAAATTCTTTATTCCTTTCCTTTACAATTTCCAGCTTATCATTTATATTTACGCTCTGTACTGCTTTTTGAATCACTGCAACAGCACGCAACCGCGGACATTTAGCTTTCACCAAGTGCCCTTGTTTTGAGCAAATAGCAAGATTTCCATCATCAGTGTGGACAGCTATATTAATTTGTGAATAGAAAAGTCAGGGGTGAAAAGTCATCTTATTACGTATACGTCCAGCTTGCCTCAACCAATTACTTACTGCGTTCCACATGCCATATAAGGCGGAAAGGCTAGAGATTGCTCCATCTTTTTTAAAACCATACTACTAATACTGGTAGTAATAGCAGCAGTGCAATGAAATGGAACTTAATTTGCCCAACTTGTTGGTAGAGAGAACAATCGGGTACATATAACTAATTCCGTAATTTCACCAGCATGCGAGGTTAACTGAATTTGCCATGAGTAATTTGTAATAGCTCCATAAGTAGGTGTGAAATCACATATTTTTACGTGGTGATCTTTGATGAAGCGTTGTTCTCGTATCATACTAAATCAAGAAAAGCCGCACAGTTTTAATGCCAAGATTGTCACCTTCTCGTATCCTGATTTTGCAGCTATTTATTTTGTTAATTGTGCAAAGAAAATTTACATATTTATAACATTTACCAATTCATTTGAAGAAATGCAATAACCAGCTCATAGCTGAACATGTTATCGTGCTAACTGGTATTAAAGTCTATATATAGGATACTTTCCACTATGGTTGGAGCAAAAATTCAATTAAATTTACTGATCAAGTTATACCCTAAGATCACAGAAGAGTCCGAACACAATCATTAAAAAAACTACATTAAAGCGTAGGGAAGATTGTATTCATGGAAATGTTTTGTAAAATGAGATAAATGTCGTAAATCCGAGTACAAGCTTAAGTTAATAAAAAGTGCGGTCCATGATATCCACTACTGCGACGATAATATGGAAGGCACTACTTATTAACGTAAAAGCTTATGACACAAATTCGCGACGTTTATCACTTTTTCCAAAACAGTTCCTTATCTTACGCTATAATTTAATAATTCTGTTCAAACTACACTGCGAACTTAGCGCATCACTTCAACAGTACAGTTAATTGAACTTTCGCTATAACCGTCGTGGAATATACCGTAGAGTATATACTTTAATGCCACCTATCAGGATGATATTTTCAGCATTTCACAAGCTATCGGCTGACAATCTTCCATTTCTTCCGGAAAATGCAAGTAATCGAGTTCAAAACCAACATTTAAATTTTCTTGGGAAATTTAACTATTAAATTAGCTGTGCTCATCCGTATAGGGGAAGATGGATTACCTGAGCATTAAAATTGGGCAGCTGTGTTTGCTTTAGTTTGATACGAGAATTATGCTTTATTGTGGATGATCGTTTAAAGCCTAGCTGTATCACGCGTACTCGCATAGGCATTTCACTTTGCTCATGGCTAAATCACTTAACTTCGCAAGCTAGTGTGTCTATAAATTTGCGAATAAACAAGTTATTTATTTATTAACCTTTGTTATTTGCAGTCGACTAATAACTTAGGCTGCTTGCACAACACGTGCGTCTGTGAAATATGTTACTATATTTCGAACTTGTAACCATTTGCATATTGTAGTATTAGTTGTGGGACTATAAAACTTAACACTGATTCATGTCTAACAAAAATTGACAAGACAGTATCCCACACACATTGCACGAAATACTTTACGACAAATGTGGTAGCAGTTTGCATTTATTTCATGGTCCAGTTTGTCACACAGGAATGGTGAGAAATCAACAAGATTAGTCTTGAATTCCTATTTATGAATGCACTGCATATGGCATTGTAGAACAGTCATCTCTTTGTGCAATCCAACGGAACATGGTGATTAGATATGGCGGTAACACGGTTAACGCCTTAGTACACAGCTGCGACGATGTGATACATTTCATGAAATTATTTCGTCCGTGAAGTAGATTGAGATGTGATTCTCAACTAGGAAGATGCGTTTATTCATGTATTACTTAAAACTCGCTGAATCTGCATTTTTTAATATGGTCGATTATTTTCTTTCGGGAAGCATCGTAGATTTTTAATTAATTCATTAGAGAACATCAATTAAATGCCAACGAGCAATTTATAAATTGCGAACTAAAACACAAAGTGATGTGACAAGAAATTAATTTTAATGTTGCTCATGCATTGCTAAAATAGACAGCTGGAACTGTTTACATCTATAATGATGATGCTATTAGGCGCCTTATTGCTAGGTGTTATCCTGTATGCAGTTTGCATTTATTTCATGGTCCAGATGACGTCAACTACGACCCCACCCTCAACCACTACCATCCAACTATCTCGTGAACCGTAGCGAAGTGATCCATGCCCGGTGTTGACGGAAGCCATGCCGCTCCAGTGCCAAGATGCTGCATTTTTCCCGGTGGTTCATTGGAGCCTCAGCGATGACCGCATCCATCAGCTTTGGTTAGATGGTTGTCATATTATACCTTCCGTGATCGATCAATCGGGAAATTTCTTATTCCTCAATGCAAGGCACCGCCTATACCGCACACCGACAGGTTTACTTCGGTTACCTCGATCATTGAGTAATCAGGGCTATCCTGGATGTTTCGTTTCCTCACGAATAATTTGTTTGCGCATATATCATGCAAATATTTTTCACTCTCTCCAATTTCGGCCTTCTGGGCAGGCACTAAAATACCGATCATCAGGCTACACCAACTTATTTAACTCCTAACGAACCCGCATAATATGCAATATTTTAGTTTGCCATTTTCTTCGGGTTAAATAAGAATTTAATGTGCGATGCATTATTCTTGTCTTCCGTCTATGACTAAATTCTTTAAAATACTGGACCATCCAACGTATAAGTTCCCATCCCCATAGCTAGCTAATACACAGTTATCACTTGCATTTTTCAAAATTTTCCTAAAATTTTCTCAACGTTAATGGCCTAATGGAGTCATTGGCTGAGGGATCTGCGTTCATCCTATTAATCGCTTCCATCTCCTGGAGCGCATCACGCTGCTTTCGCAATATCTCTAAACGAATATGTGTTGTCCCACAACGCGACACATCTACTTTCATCAAATCATCATGCTGCGTCTATCGTTTCTCCCTGATATTTATTGGTAGTTTCTCATTAATATGCACAGGTGCGGTGTACGATGCCAAATAATCATTGTACAGATTCAAGCTCACCCTCGTGTTAGGTGTTACAATATTGTAATGCCTCAATCTTACACAGTTACACATTTATATTTTACTATTTTACAACACTTCTTGATATCAGAATTTTGCTGAAATTTTAAAATACTGTGGTTGCTAATCGAATAATGCTCCTCACTCTTCGCTAATATAGTTCACGTCTCTACGATCGGCTTGTTCACTACGTCACCAGTATCATTATTGTACGCTCTGTATGAAAATATATGCTTTACATCGCACGCTACCTTGGCTATCGTGCTAAGGAACCTTTAATCAACCAACTGCTAGTACCTTCAAACTACGTCCATTTCTACTTAGCACCAAAAAGCAATTTTCTGTGTGGCCTCAGATTCGCTTACATACAAGCAACTGTGCACTAAATTTCAAACATACTTGAATTTACAATACTTAATTTCTTCTTTACTTTTAAGTATGACCGCTTTTACAGTAAGGAAACCCTAGCAATATTTTCGATCTTATAGTTAGAGCATAACTTTTGTTAACGCCAAATATTAGCTTGTCATCTATCTCCAAACCTTCTCTATCCTCTACTTATTTCTAATTTTCTCTTCAAGCTACATAGGCTTTAATCATGTCCAAGCATTTTGCTCACGTACCTATCGTATTGCACTAACGAGCCAACGCCAACGGTCTCCACCGGCTCACTGGCACGCTCACGTGCTTGGCCAAGTTCCATTCACCTGCAATGGTATGAGTAGCGACAATGAAATTAGAGGTAATGGCACTGACTCTCAGTAATTTAAACAAGAGCAAAGTAAACAAAATTGCATTCACGGATTTCTCTGAATGTTGCTGCGTACTATCCTGAATAAAATTATTTAAGTTGAAATATTTCATGGCAAAGTTCGGCCTTAATCTTCGATTTATATGATACCGGCATTCGAGAAACTGGAGTAACGAAGATTTACGTCACAACAAATGTCGACATAAGCCAATAATTCTTGGCTAACAAAATGCTGTTGCAAAATATCAGCAAGCAGTGTGTTAATAAAGTTTTAGTGAAGTAATTGCTAATTCCAGCTTCACGGTCTATTTTATATCATTGCTTCGTAATGACGTGCGATGGATACGAATGGTCTAATTGGTTGACAAACGTGATTTTAATTTGACATTTCTGTACATTCTGTTAAATTTTGCGGTGGAAGTAGGCATCATTTTTTAACAAGTCTGGATAACACTGATTTCGTCAACTACTCTAATGAAGTTTGGAGCACTTTTACAGCATTCCACGTTATGGCGTGCAGTTATGGGTTCAGCAGGCAGAATGATGTAAGCTTGGCCAATCACGATAAGCCGCTTGCAACAGGCGAGTTGGTTGGTCCGTTGTAATGCGCTTATTGTATAAAAGGTAAAGGCTCGCAGCGTTTAGCATAGATGCTTTTGCAAGTGCACGAATACTAGTTGGGCTTTAAGCAATGAAACTGGTTTGTGCTTCATGATCATGTGTTAACTGCTGTTCTCATATTAGATAATTTATCTGCTACTGACAGTGCACGTGGTTTTTAAATCTCTGGAAGTCGCTGGGTTAAATTACTGTACCGCACAATTATCTAAAGTGCGTGTCGAATGTCTGGAGGAATCCGTCGTTCTGTGCGGCATTGGTAAGGAGCGAGCGGCATTGATGGTTTACTTGAGTTTAAATCGTTGAAAGTCGATTAGTCTGCTTGATTTGATATACCTAGTTTCATCATGCTTGCGCATTTCTTAACCAAGTTAATAACACGCGAGTAATAATATTGTAATTCAAATGCTTCTACTGCGTTGTGATAGTTAGAAGTCATTCTTGCTGCATCGTAAATCATTAGTATGTATTTGATGGGCATTACTTTTATGAAGTTGCTACAGCTGATTTTATTAAAACGCATATTTTTTGGAATTGATTTAAATCGGTGGATCAAAAATTGAGAGGCACACTAATTTTTCCATAGGCATTTTATTGGTGAACCGGTAGTTTGCAGGACGCCGATGGAAAATGATTTAAAATAGTATGCAGTTGAACAGCCTGGCAAGTGCGATGATATGATTTGATTACAATATACTCCCTTTTAAAAATTATGAAATGCACAGGGTATCTAAATGAGCCATGCACTAGTTTAATGTTCATTGTTGTATGTGAGCATTTTTCCAAATACTTGTCTGATGTATTGTATTCACTCATAATATTTTTATCGCTTCTTTGCGTTTAGAAAATTCATATGTCCAATTTGATATCAACATGTTCATAAACAACTGATGTTTTAAATTTCGCTCAGCTGTGCTAAGTTATTCATGCAACGAGAGTTTTGGTATCTCTAGTTCATGTATTCACTATCCACTTCAGTTGACAAAGTAGCATCGTGCAATGCATATGGTAGAAGCTACCCAGGTTGATGATACAGATGTAAAGTACCCTGTTAAATCTATTGAAAAGAATCCCATGTGCACAGTAACGACATAGTCATTCCAGAGTTCGAAAGTCTTACACATAAAGCGCATACATTTTATCCTACAGAAAAGTACAGGGAGAGATATATGTCACAAGAAATTTCACCTCTCGACAGTTTAAACATTCTATCATTTTAATTACTTTAATCAAAGTCATTTTAATCAAAGTACCATTTTAATCAAAATGCATTTAAGGGATTTGCTGTGCAAGTACTAATATTCCCTCGACCGTTCTAGACAAAGAAAACACAATGGAACACAAAGAAAACAGATGCCGGTATTGTTCACTGTGCCAGGATAACCTAAATATATGCAAGATACGGAAGTTGGCTCCACTGACATCTTGCCCGGAAGCACAACACATCCGACAAAGCCTGATTGAACAGAGAACACGTTTGCGCTAAAACTTCCAACGCTGCCAAACTTCGTTTGCAAGTGTTTTCTGATGTCTCTGTTATACCGCCTTTCGTTCTAATTAATAAACTTGCGTAATGCGCATCCATTATTTTTGTGTCTCACATAAGGCTAAGGCGCAATTATCTTGATGGGCATAAATTTCTAATGTTTCAATGACGTACGTTCTGATTGCGCAACTGCTACCTGCTAACAGCATCGTTTTATATGAGGTAATTCCATAATTAATGGGTTGCCAAATATGTTATGTGCGATGGAAAATTGGAATTTATTCGACTGAGCAGTTACAATAGAAGATATCAACGTGCTGTTTCAGGTTGTTACTCTTTTCACCGATAGAATAAGTGTGATAAAGTGTTGTGACTTTAATTGGATCTCTGCACGTTTCGTAACAAATAAATATAACTGGCTTCTAGTTTATCTCAAATAAGCCCCCAAACAGTCGTATAGGAAATTTATTTTTGCTTCGGTATTAGCACAATTCTAACAAACCGATGTATATTATAAAATTTGTACTTCTGATTTTTACTGCTTTTTATTATGTGTTGTCGGAGCGCAACGTGCATCTATACAACGCATTGGTTCGTTACAATAGGTAAAAGAGTGGAAGCTTAGAAGCGCACGATTTTTCCGTTTCCATGGGCTCAATGGAGTTTACTCGTATAGCCCTCGCATTTTGTTGAGGTTGTGAGTATTTTGGTGTAATTTGGGGTAACCAATTAACAAGATGCCTTGCGTTTCGACAGGCGAGATTTGTGCTTTGTTTTACTTATTAAATATAAAGAAACCCACAACACTTCACATGTTACAATTAAAATAAAACAAGCTAAACAAGTCATACTTTTAGTACATGCAGGTTAGGCACTTGCGGAAATTGCTTGAGTAATAATTTTAATCCTTAATTAAAACCTATATTGTAAAGAACACGAAGGAACACGATGTTAGATAAGTTATACAAATGACCTGTACAGTGATTGGGCTCATTACTGACCTATTTTCTAAGTTTTTTGATAACGCAAGATAAATACTATATTGCGTAAATATAAACACTTGATGTTGCATATAACAGAGAGCTGTGAAATGAGGCATTTTCTTCAGTTTATCCGCCGCTAGCCGTACACAAATTTGTTTTAGCCATCAAGTTGGATCACACGTTTTACGTTTAACAACTGCTAATATCCTGTGTATTTGGGTTGGGAAACGGGTTAAAAGTTAACGTGGCGACATCTTTTGTAATTAATTGATGTGCGATTCTAATGCATGCGATGAGTTTGCCATCTAGGATGTGAAACTTGACAATCGAACCGGGTCCGATTAGTACAGACAAAATTGCCTGGCACCCTTCTATGGTGTCGAGGATGATCAGCCAATCGGAGAGCAAACAACTGATTGGTCATGATGCCAATCTGGCCTATGGTTTCACTAACACGCGAGCGAGATGACATCTAAGTGAATGGTAATAAGAAGTGGATTGGTGGTTTTTGTAAAGGCTGCAACCCTTGCAGGTTGTTGGAGGAGACGCTTTGATGGCTTTTGGATTGACCGAAAGGTTGCCATCCTTGCTCGCTTGCCTACTTGGCCCCACGTGATACGGTATGGGCAGTGTACTCATGCCATTGAGAGCAATCTGGATAATCGGTAGGGGTGCGACTTCGCTTAGGAAATGCGTGTGATTGTCAAGGCAGTGTGGGGTAAACAGAAATAATGCAGTAATTCGGATGAAGGAGATATAGCTAGAAATTATTCGCAAATAGAATTTTTCAAACCTTTACAGCTACAACGTTCTCATGCTGTTTTTTTCAGTTGATCCTACACCCATACGAATGGCATAGCTACGTACTGCTGATATAGTCTGCGCATGGTATACTAAGGTCAAGTTCGCTGTGTAGGTAAGACCATCAGTGGCTCTGTAGCCACTGTTCCAATTAAGAGGGATGTTAATGTGGCGGTGACACGATATGAGTGAGTGTTCTTTCGTTTCCACACCTGTGGCCTCTTCGGTAATCAGTTACCGCTACAGGACCCATGGATCTGCCTTTATGTTACGCTCGTAAGATGCATGGCAATCCTGCGTTTCAACATGATGTTTACAATACACTTCCGAATGATTGGTAAGCTTGATATGCCAAGTGACCCTACGGCCCTGATATGATTTGGCAACGAGCATTGCATACCCGTAGTAAGCATAGAGTTTGGAGCAATTTTCCTCCATACGCAATGCCTCAGGAATTACCTATTTCCAATGATAAAATGTTTCCGAGTAGTCGCCAAGTCGATAACAACCTGTGTCACGGCGTGCACACATGACTGCTTCTAACACTAACTGAAACAGTGGTCCATAGCAAGATTAGTGGGCGCGGTTGCCATCACAAATGATTGCAAACAGATTGCAGGAATGCCCCTGGGTGAAACAACAGTGCTTGTCTGTTCCAAGTACTCACCTGAAGTACCAGAGTAAAATGCGTTCGACACCACTAATTATCATCCTTGCGCTTTTATAGCAGGACGATGTGGCATGTATGAATATCGTAGTCATTGTAGCTCCATTAGATATTTCTTTGTTGAGTAATGCCGATTTCATGAGGAGAGAACTCCAGTCCCTGGACTTATTAGGGAGGTTCCATCTGCATTGTCTGTGCTTCTCTGGTGCCGTTAGGAGAGCCAATTGTCAAAGCGTCTCAACACGTATGGGCGACCATTTGGAAGTGAAGTCTAATTATCTTATGAATACACAGGTTCTATGACCTTTATATAACGACAAACGTGGAGACACTGAAGCGATATCTGATTAACAAAGACGCCCATGGGTGTGAAAACAAACGAACGCTCACTATCGTCGTGTCAACGCCACACTTGGAATCCTCTTAGATTTCGTTTGGCCATCAACTGTGATAGAAGTAAGCAAACATAGATATCTCGTCGTTCAGCTTCAGGTTGGTCTACCAACTTCAATGGGAACAATGTCCCCATGATCGTCGCAATAAAAATCGCACAAACTTGTATAACCTCCTAACAGCCATTGCTGAACCGGCGAATACCGATTAGAAGATTGCCTGTCTACGCCACCATGGTTAGGCCACTAAATAAGCCACCACCAGGTAGAAGCTAGCGATCACTAAGTATAGACCGCGTTATGTGCTGGTTAGTATGTCTGTCCACACTGGTTACGTCTTAAGCTTCGGATCATGTGTTAGCTAGGTTCTCCTCCTTAGACGGGCATTACAAGTTGCCAATTGGATCGTTTCAGTTTGGAGACCAGTCATCGAGGCTTGCTTCAGATGGGCATCAAAATAGAACAGAAGGTGGTGCTTGACCATTTTCATTGGACTGTCTGTCGCTTATGCTGGGGGCTTCCAACCGTGTCCCATTGGATAACGTCCCATGACCGATGGGAATGTTAACGACGCCAAATCAGAGTTCTTGGCCTCGCTAACTTGAAAGCACTGCACGCGATTTCGAAAATGTGCCACACTAAACGCTTGGTACAATGCGCTAACATGCGTGTAAAATGGTATAGAATTACAGTAAATGATGGAGCCATAATTAAGCAATGTAGGTTTTTTTATCTTATACCGTGTGTTATTTGATGCTTTCAAGTTGAATGTTTTGAACAGAAGCCCAATGCTCCGAAGGGTTTTTGTTGCAGTATATTTGGCGTTTTCGGCAATGTTAAGTGTGTTGGATTAGTGGATGCCTAGATTACTCATGGTGTAGATTTGAGGCAATGGTATACCATCAGTATTTAGCAAACTTCGGGTGATGTTACAGCTGTAGTATACTAGGTAACCTTTATGAGCAGAGGATATTAGCATACATTAAGAGCTCCATGAGTTGATCGCATTGAATTCATGTTGGATTTTGCTTGCCACTATACTGATCTCATTTGGATTGAAAACGTAAACTATCTTTATGTCATCGACCAATCGGGAAGGTTTGCCGGAGGTAAAGAATTCAAAAATATCATTGACGTGTAGTACGAACAAAAAGGGTTCCAAAAACTGCCCTGTATCAAGTCATTGGTGTTAGGTATTGGTGAGCTTGTTTCTTGTTGTATCTGAACAACCTGGGTTCTATTTGTGAGGTAATTTATCAAACTATGAAAACAAAGGATTTTCTATGCTATGTGCAGTTAGTTTCCATTTAAGGAACATATGCTGGCGACGATGAAATGCCTTGTGTATATCGAAGTAGATGACTACTGTTGATGAACCACCATTGAGCACAAAATCAGGAGATCGAGAAAGTAGACCTGACATAGTATGCAGGATCAAGCTCTTAGGAAACCGTGTTGTGAGATGTTGATAAGATTTCGCGCCATCATGAAATAAACAGTTTTGACTTTAGATGACGCTTCACCATCTTGTACAGAATTATGGCTTATTAGGTGGTAGTTGTTCATTTCATGTACAGTGCCTGAGTTGTAGCGAGGAATGACTACAGCCTTTTACACTATATTGACACAAGCGATTTTCATAGATGGAGAAAATAAACATAAAAGCGGTACAGGGATGTTGGAATCACTTTCTTTTTATTAATATTGGTGGTAATTTGTCAGGTGCAACAGACTATGATACTTTAGTAGAGGAAATGAGTTGATTAATATCACAAAGTTCAAAGGCAAGTTTACGAAGCTTGTCGTCAGTAACCAGTGGGAAATTTGTGAGGAAACCGCAGCAGTAGCTTTAAATATAAAACAATGGTAATTCTTAAAACCGCTGCTTATTATGGTTGGTTTGCTAGTTACTACTTTATCATAATTCAATATGGATGGGGTTTCCGTACTAGTCTTTCTACTTTTCATCAATTTGGTGGGATCAGGGTTTTTATTAAGGCTATCGATCGCGTGTCTTGCAACATTTATCTGCCTGATAAGCCGAACGGTTTCGTGTTCAGCGATGACTTTGTGCTGCTGCAATGCTATGGAAAAGTCCTTCTTTTGCAAATAGAATCTTCGCAGCCTCCGGAAAAGCATGCAACTACTTCCCGGGGTGATGACTAATTTTATTACACTGGGAAGTCACAGATACGCTAGTGGTATTAGAGAGTCTAC